AGGCGATCTTCAACCTTGGCATCATGCATCACACGGGAGACGGCCTGAACCGCGACCTCCACCTGGCAAAGCGCTATTACGACATGGCGCGTGCAGCTTCAGCCGATGCAGAGGTGCGTTGTTGTTATCCTTGTTTGTCTGCTCCGCATATGGTGACATGTGCGTCTGCCTCTTCTCCTTGCTGAACGCCTTTGTGTTGCTTGCATGCACCGCAATCCTGGTCCTCTACGCTGCTCTTGCAAGTCTCCCCCACCCCCACCCCCGTCCACTTCCTCTACCGTCATCTCAACACGCACCATCACCTCTGCCTTCACCATGCTTCCCGTCTCCAGTTACCTGTCACCCTTGCGCTGCTGTGGCTGTACGGCTGCTTTGCTGTCGAGTACATGCACACGCGCGCCATCCCAGCCGCTGTCGCTGCCGTGCAAGAGTGGGATGCCGGTGATATGGACGCGCTGTTGCAGGAGAACAGGACGGTGCTGCTTGTTGCGCTGACTGTGCTGCTTGTGGTTGTGTATCTGGCGCGAACGCGGCGTATCCACGAGCACAGGGTGCGGGCACAGGAGCAAGCGCAACGAGAGGCGCAGCAGCAGGATGAGGAGGAGGAGGAGGATGAGGAGGAAGCAGGTGAAGGCGATGGCGATGATGGAAGGGGTGGTGATGCTGGTGGTCCAGCTGACAGCAGCGATGGCGACGAAGAGTAAGCCTGTCGACTGGTGGCCTGCATGCGTGCTTGTTGACACGGTGCATGCTCTGTAGTTGGTGTTGGACGGAGGTTGAAAGCGAACATAAACAGCAGAACTCAAATGCAAGTGATGTCATGTCACGTCAAAGCTGTGGTCACACAAAGCAACTCAAAGCCTGCCACTGACCATCGCCTTCCGTCCTGAACTTCCAGCTTTGCACTCTTCGTCCGCTGCCATGACAGTGCTGAAAGGCATCCCATCCATTCTCCCACCCGAGCTGTTACTCGCTTTGGCCAAGATGGTGCGTGAGCTTGTTGTGCTGTGCTTGCTCCCCCACATCAACCCCGTCGTTCTCTTTCTTCATCATGTCACCGTGCAACTTGTTCCTCACATCCCGCATCTTCTCCCGTATCCACCTACTTGCAGGGCCACGGGGATGAGCTGGTGCTGGCAGATGCAAACTTCCCTGCAGAGAGTGTTGGCGCATCCACACCCTGTTCCGTGATTCGCTGCGACGCCCTCGGCATGCCAGAGCTCCTCAGCGCCATCTTAAAGGTATGAACCAATGTGTGTGTGTGTGTGTGTGTGTGTGTGTGTGTGTGTGTGTGTGTGTGTGTGTGTGTGTGTGTGTGTGTGTGTGTGTGTGTGTGTGTGTGTGTGTGTGTGTGTGTGTGTGTGTGTGTGTGTGTGTGTGTGTGTGTTTTGGACATGCGCAAGCGAAATGCATGCACCCTTGCACCCTTGCTTGTCATCGATATCCAGTAGCACAACGTACGGTTGACACGTGACGTATCCTGGGTGCGACTGTTCCTGGCACACATTCTTTGCCCACCGACTGGCAGCTGTTGCCACTGGATGAGACATCTTGCCCCTGCGCGCTGATGGACTTGATGCCCGAGCACAAGGCTGCCGGGTGGCAAACCCCGATCTGGGAGCAGTACAGGGCCATTGTGGCTGAGAACGAGAAGCGCACGGTCGACTTTGAGCTGGTGGAGCGCTTTGCCTTCTACGAGCGCGCGAAGAAGGCGTTTGTCGTCGTTGCGACCGGCGAGCAGGCCCTGTATGCCAACCTCATCCTCAAGAAGGGCGTCATCGGCTCCACAGGCGCCGCATCCTAATATGCGTGTGTGTGTGTGTTGTGTGTGTGTGTGTGTGTGTGTGCATGTGCGTACAACCACTGTGTGTTCCTAACTTGCTCGGGCTTCCCAGCGCACTCCTGTGTTTGCCTTGAACTCGCATCCCTGCATCCCCGCTGACGTGTTCTCACTTGCCTGCCCCCACACCCGGTCAACCCCGAGATCACAGCTTCATCATCTACACTGTTACATGTTTGCTACTGCACCTTTCATCATCTATTGCAGGAGGAACGCGTTGAGACCTCAATCAAATGCAATACAAGGCCATGATATCAGCTACGCAAAGCAAAGTAACAGTAAAGCAAGTAAGCAAGCACGTCCAATACAGCGTGCACTCTCACACACAGCAGCAAGCAGTAGCCCCAGTCAAGTCACTCTCTCACTCACGCACACTGTTAACAACAACAGATTCTCCTCATGTAACTTAATACCATGGCACACACACACACACACACACACACACACACACACGCACACACATCGAGACACAAACACAGACGTGTCACTGTAGCAGGAGGTAGTCTGCCTCGAGCTTTGCGAATGTCGGGCGGCGGGCTGGGTCTTGCTCCATGCACTTGCACGTCAGATCCCGGTACCACTGTGGAAGGTCAACACCGTGGCCTTTGAGAAGGAGGAGGAAGAAAGGAGAGGAAGACAGGGATGAGCAGAAGTGTGGGACAGGTGTGCCATTGGATCACCATCAACATGCACGGATGTAGCATGACAGAAAAGAAAGATGTCACAATCGCCTTCCCAAACACACACATACAAGCACGGCACGGACACATACAAGCACAGGCACAGGCACAGACACAGACACAGACACAGACACACATGCAAACGCACACAGACATACACACACACTCTCTCTCTTACCGTCGTATTTCAGGCGCCTGCCGTCCATCAAGAGGTTGTACAAGGCAGCGAGCATGGGGCCCTTGAAGCTGGGGCCATGCTCCTGCGCAATCAAATCGGGGGTGCGCTGTGTCGCCACCTCCCACATCAGCACGCCAAAGCTGAACACGTCCGCCTTGGCATCGTACTGCCCGCCAGCCAACACCTCCGGTGCCATGTACAGTGGCGTGCCCACACCGGCCGTCATGCTCAGGTGCATTGTTGCGGTGCCGGCCTCCTGCGTGTATGCCCGGTCACTGCTGGAGAACACAGCAACACTATCGCCACCGCCAACGGCAAACGTGGACTTAGAGCGTGGGCGCGTCAGGCACTGGCGGATGGATCCAAAGTCCGCAATCTTCGCTCGCAGATGACTGGACACGAGCACATTTCCGCTCTTCAGATCTCTGTACACGCGTCAACGGGTAGCAGCCACAAGTCAGACGCAGTCACATCACGGACAAGGCACGCCAATGAAAAGCGTGTCTATCACACACACACACACACACACACACACACACACACACACACACACACACACACACACACACACACACACACACACACACACAAGCGACGCATACAACCCCCCCCCCCAAACTCTCACACAGACAAACACAGACACAGACAGACAGACAGACACACCTGTGGACGTGGCCGAGGCTGTGGATAAACGCCATGCCGCCTGCGACATCGCGTAGGAGCTGCAGCTTGAATTCGGGCACGGTTGTGCTGGTGGTGTACACCTCACCGCCAGCACCGCCTCCAATGCTGCCGCGGTTCGGGGCGAGCAGGGCTGCCGTGTCTGGCATAAGATCGTACTCCTCGCCCTTGCTGCTTTTGTCCCTCGCCATCAGCTGCCCGCGCACATACTCGCGCAACACCTTCTCCATGTCCTTCCCCAGCAGGTCCTTGAGCGACCCCATCGCCACATACTCAAGCACCAGGAACGGGCTGCCGTTGGGGTCTGTGCCCGCGCCAAAGAACCGCACCACGTGCGGGTGCCGTGTGCGCTGCAGAAACTCCACCTCCTTCTCAAACTCAAACACCGTTGTGTCATCAAACTCAATCGCTGCCCGTTGTAACACCTTCACCGCCACCGTCACAGAGTCCCACTCTGCCTTGAACACCGTGCCAAACGCACCCGCGGCCACTCGCTTGATCAGCCTCAGCTCATCGTAACCAATCTCCCACGCCTTCTTCAGCGCCTGCACCTCCTCGTCACGTTCCACCAGCAGCTGCTTGTGCAAGTCGTCACTCACGTGCGCGCGTCTGTAGCGGCGGTAAACCCACACCAGCAGCGGAATGAGCACGGCCAAGCTTGCAAGCACGGACGCGGCGACAATGGCCAGCACGTTTGCCTCTCGCGGCTCGCACCGCCCGCTCGCCGTCAGCCGGTGGCGCTGCGCACACGCGCACTCGAAGAAGAACGTAATCTCTGTGGAGAGCGTGAATGTCGAGCCGTCGTTGAGGCGCACGTTGTCGTTGCCCAGGCGCAGGCTGCAGCGGATGGGGGCGTTTGCAAGCTGGAACAGGGGCGGGTTGACGCGGGAGATGAGCTGGGTGCCGTCCACCGTGCTGAACGAGTCTGTGGAGAGCACAATCGGCCGCGCAGCCACGGCGGCGATGGTGGCGGGGGTGTCCAGCCAGCTGTTGCCAGAGAGATCAAGCACCTGCACCCGCGCCAGGCACTGGGAGAGCAGCTGCCGGATGGCATGGGGCGCCTCAAACTCCACGCTGACGAGTTCGCGGGCAAAGAGCATGGTACGGCCCCAGCGCGTGCACAGGGCAATTGTCGGGTGAATACTGGTGCGGCTGATGTCTATGGCGTCCACAGAGGGCACAAACACTTCCTCAAGCACAGCGCAGCCAGACACGTTGAGTTGTTTCAGGTGGTCGTGCACAAACAGAGAGCGCAGGCGCACGTTCTCCTGCAGAAACACCGAGTCAAAGTCCTTGTTGTCGCACAGGCTGATGCTGGTGTACTGGGAGTGGGCAAGGGTAAACTCACGCACGTTGGCGTCCAGCCAACCGCACACGTCCTGCAGCGGGAACGTCTTCTCGCTCATGTCGCGCCACCCGACATGCAGCGTGGTCAGCCGCAGCGTGAGCATGTCGCCAACAGCGTGCAGCACGTCGCTCATGTCCGTGTTGGTGATGCTGAGCGTGCGCAGCATCTGTGCATCGCCAGGGCCCAGGTTGCCTGCATGCACGGTGGCCTTGCTGCCACGTGGCAGGCCAGAGTCCATCTCCAGCACGCCAATGAGCCGGAACGCAAGCAAGGGGGTGATGTCCACTTGCGGGATGCGGTGGTTGCGCATGCGCAGCGTGATGAGGCTGGTGGCGGCAGAGAGGTCCGGCACAGTCTTGAGCGGGTTGTCCGAGAGATCCAGCACCAGCAGGCCGGGCAGGTGCGGGGCAAAGCGCGTCAGGTGGTTGTCGGAGAGCGGGAGGAAGTTGAGGGCCGTCAGGTTGTTGAGGGCCGTGTCGACGGTGGTGAGCCGGTTCTCGTTGAGGGAGATGGTGCGGATGCGTGGCGTGTGTGCAAACAGCTCATCCGGCAGGTGGCGAAGACCAACGCGCTGCAGGAAGATGCGCTCCAGCCGCGTGCACGTGTGCAGGAGCAGCGGGTGCAGCTGGCCAAGCGGGTTGTCGTCAAGCAGCAGGTTGGTGACGTTGACCAGGTCTCTGAAGACTACGGGCGGCAGGGAGTGAATGTGGTTGTCGCCGAGGTCCAGGGACTGCAGCATAAACAGGCCGCTGAACACGTCATCGCGCAGTTTTGAAATGTGGTTCTGGTACAGGTTGAGTGTCTCCAGCAGGGGCGTGTGAGCAAAGGCGTCCTTGGGCAGGCCGTTGAGGTGCGTGTTGGAGAGCTGCAGGGACTTCAGCTGGGACAGATGATCAAACACGGCGTTTGGCAGGCGCGTGAGCGGGTTGGTGTCGAGCCGCAACTCCTGCAGCTGGTGCAGGGCGTCGAAGGTGGACGACGCGAGTGAGGTGAGGTCGTTGACTCCGACGTCCAGGTTGATGAGCGATGTGAGCTGTACAAACGCCTTGGCGTCAATGCTGGTGATGTGGTTGTTGTGGAGCTGCAGCGTGGTGAGAGCGGGCAGGTTCCCGAGCGTGTTTGCGCCAATGCGGCGCAGGCGGTTGTTGTTGATCAGGAGCGTGTCTAGCGACGTCATGCCTGCAAGCAAGGCCTCGTCCAGCGTGGTGAACGCGTTTGAGCTGAGGTCCAGGGACCGGAGCTGGGGTGCGGCTGCGAAGTTGGCGCTGTGCAGGGTGAGCAGCTCGTTCTGGCTCAGGTCCAGCCTGATCAGGTTCGGGAGGGGGTTGAGCGTGTCCAGGCTGAATGTTGCCGACTGCAGGCCGGTGATGGTCAGGTGCGTGACGGTTGGCCACGTGTGCACGGTGAGCAGCCACTGCAGCGTTGGCAGCTCGACGTCACCGCGTACCACGAGGTGTGCCACGCCGTCAAACGTGGCGGGGAACGGCACCGCAGCCGGCATCTGATCCACAAAGTCGATGATGATGGTGAGGCGGCCCATCGTTGTGGGGCCTTCACATGTGCCGTTGATGACATCGGAGAGGAAGCACTGGTGCGGGCCTATTGGGACCACGGCGGATGATGTCGCGGTTGTGGTGGTCGTGGTTGTTATCGCTGGTGTCGTCACAGGCACTGTGCCGTTTTGTGGTGCAGTGGTTGTGGCGTTGGTGTCGGCCGCGGGCGCCGCCGTTGTGGTGCCGTTTGCTTCGCGACGAATGCGAAGCGGAAGGTGCATTCGACGCGGGGTGAAAGCGGTGCTGGAACTGGGTTTCGGTCTCTCTCGCATGCGAGAGCTTTTTGGAGGCGCAAACTCGGCCTCGTCAATGTCATCAGCAGTCAAGGGAGGCACGCGGTGCTGCTGCTGCTGCTGCTGCTGTTGTTGTTGTCGTTGTTGTCGTTGTCGTTGTTGTTGTTGTTGTTGTTGTTGTTGTTGTTGTTGTTGTTGTTGTTGTTGTTGTTGTTGTTGTTGTTGTTGTTGTTGTTGTTGTTGTTGTTGTTGTTGTTGTTGTTGTTGTTGTTGTTGCCGTTCTGCTTGCTCTCCTGCTTGTTCTTGGTTTTCTTGTTCTTGATCTCCTTGGCAGCCAAAGGCGTGCCACATGTGCTGCACAGGGCTCAGGTCCACCCGAGCAGCGATGCCATGGTCTGTGGCGTTTGCTGCTGTGGTGTATGGGGTGTTGCTCTCCTGCAAAATGCCGGCCATGTCCAGCAGCGTGCGCTCAACGGCACGACAGAGCTTCCACGACGGTGCCGCCACGGAAACAGAGGCGGAGGCATGGCTTGGGGAAGAGAGGCTGCAGAGCAAGGCAAGGAAGAGGCACGTGGTCATCACCCTAGCCATGGTGAGGGGTGTTGGTCGATGGAGGCGGGTGGAGCGCGATGATGATGATGATGGTGGTTGCTCGTGGGTGCGCACAGCACGCAGGCTGCGGCTGCTGACCATATCCACAGGCGCAGCTGGATGTTGGAGGAACCCTTCACACTGAAGTCAGTTTCATGAACAGTAGCGACGATTGGCAATGTTTTCCAATAAATGTGCACGGCCGTTGTCTGGCGCACAGACGAACGAACGACAAGATGCAACACACACACCCACACGATGAGTTCGTTTATGCAGAGATGGCATCCAAGCAAGCAAAGGCAGGTTGTGTTTCCACAGGCAAGCAGGCAAGCAGGCAAGCAAGGGATGAGGAAAAAAGGGGTAAAGGGCAAGAGAAAGAGAACACGGGAGGAAGAAGAAGAAGAAGAAGAAGAAGAAGAAGAAGAAGAAGAAGAAGAAGAAGAAGAAGAAGAAGAAGAAGAAGAAGAAGAAGAAGAAGAAGAAGAAGAAGAAGAAGAAGAAGAGAGCAAGGGAAATTGGAAAGCAAAGGATAACAAGCAAGGCAGCCTGCGAATAACAAACAGGCAATCAAGCGAGCAAAAGCGAGCAAGCAAAGGGAAAGGTGGTGGGGGAGGGAGGAAGTGGGGGGGGGGGTTGAGTAGAATCAGTGCTATCTGAGTGTTTCCAGCCACGTTTGAACGTGATCGGGCCGCGACGTCACCCACACATGCTCGAAAGCGTCCTGTATTTTTTTTTGGGGGGGGGGGAGAGGGGCATGCATGTGGGTGAGTGTGTAGGTGAGTGTGTGTGTGCGAGTGAGTGAGTGAGTGAGTGAGTGTGTTTGTGTTGGAAGGGGGCGTTCGCAGAGATACGCATGTGACAGTTGTCAGCGCGGTTGTGAAACAACAGTCAGCCATCACCAGAACCAAAAAAGCACAGCAGCAACACACTCACCAGTAAGCTTTGGCAGCTCGGTCGTTCGCTGGGATCTTTACTCAGGCTGAAAAACATGAGTGCGTGCGTGTGTGCGTGCGTGTGTGCGTGCGTGTGTGCGTGCGTGTGCAGAGTAAGCAAGGATGAGGATGACCAGTGGCAGCGCGCACGTGTTGACGTCACTGCATCTGTGCCCCAAGCAAGCGCGATGCATTCCTCTACATACACACACACGCGCGCGCGCACGCACACACACAGACACACAGACACACACACACACACACACACACACACACACACACACACACACAATATGCGCACCATTGGGCGGTGATGTGTGCGAGGTCGAATGCGTGCGCTGGGGAGTAGAGGCGAGGCACCTGCCCGTGCACGATGTTGGTCAGCTGCGCAAGTTGTGCCCGCGCATCCGGATATGGGTAGAAGCCATGCCCGGCCTCACACAGCGTCACTGGCAGGCGGTGTGTGCGTGTATGTGCGTGTGTGGTGCGTGTATGTGCGTGTGTGGTGCGTGTGAGCGAGTGTGTGTGTGTGTGAGGTTGACAATGAGTGGATGCGTAAGAAGAAGGGTGCATGTGTGTGTGTGTGCGTGCAACGGTACGTCACGGGGACATGACACACACCGTGCATCGAGGCACCACACGTGCACAAAAGAAGCAAAGGGTAGTTTGACACACAGCACAGCACAGCCAACACCACTCCCTCCTCCCCATCTCCAGCAGCAACACACATCCAAGACTCCAGACGTCGCTCTTGAAATCGCGTGGCGTCTCCTCCTCCTCCGCGCTCTGATCCCGCGTGATGCGCTCGGGCTGGCGGTGTTGGTGACGGCGGCGGCGGTGGTCATGTTGATGCAAGGGCGTGAGGTGTGCATACCTTGTTACAGTTCAAGTTGGAAACGTGTATACGACACACCAATGCACAAAGAAGTGCAGTCGTATCGATGTCCACCCGCCTTTTCACGACCAACACCCACACACACACACACACATACACACACATACACACACACACACACACACACACACACACACAGAGCTGTTCCCGCCCCCAAACTTAATGCACGCCAACCCGCCTTGCTTGTCAACCGCGTTGGTGGTGCTTACCGCCATGTACTGGAATGTGCCCACATATGTGTCCGCAGCAGAGCGGCTGATCTTCTTGCTGATGCCAAAGTCGCATATCTTCACCTGAAACCGCCATCATTCGTTGGGGGAAGAGGAGGTGATGGTCGCACGGGGGTGATGTTGTGATTGCGACATGATGGTGTGTGGTGATGTGGGATGGTGAATGGGAGGCTTGACAGAGAGACAACGAGACGGAGATACAGACAGGCAGAAAGACAGACAGACAGACAGGCGGACAGGCAGACACACACACACACACACGCACAACAAAAGGACAGACAGACAGACACACACACACTCACACATACACACACACACACACACAAAAGCAAACATAAGGTGTATCGTGGGCACACCTGTGCGCGAGAGTTGATGAGGACGTTTGATGGTTTGACATCGCGGTGGACAACAGAGAGGTGGGTGTGGAGGAATGCGAGGGCCTTTAGCACTTGGTGTGCAATGAACAGCAGCGCTTCCGACGGTACACCCGCACGCCCCGCTCCTGGCAGCAGTGACGATGATGGCGGTGGTGTGAAGACGGAGGAGGGAGAGAGTGGTCATGTGGCGTCCAGGAATGCAAGTTCGTTGTGGATGTGGATGTGGATGTGTGTGTGTGTCGCTGCAACCTCAATGATTGGCGCAGCTTCACGAAGAACCACACGCACACACACACAGACACACACACACACACACACAGACACACACACACGCACAGACACACACACACACACACAGACACACATACACACAAACACACATGAACAAGAAGGCAAAGCAAACACTCACCGTTGAGGATTGATCTGAGACTGCCCACATCCATGTACTCAAGAAACAACTGCACCATGCTCTGTACACCACACGGCGTTGATTGGAACCCGAGTGTGAGGCAGACTGGTGGTGCAGTTTTCAATCATTCCACAGCACAAAGCGCAAACACGCGCACACGCGCAGCAAACAACAAGAACAGTAAACGACCGCAGTTACACAGCGCATCGGCGGCGTTGTGCGTGCGTACGTTGTCTTCGCAAACGCCGAAGAAGCGCACAATCTGCGGGCATTCGTTGGATTCGCGGAGCACGTCAATCTCCCTGCAAGAGATGGGGGAGGGGGTGGAGTGTGGAGGCACGTGAGCAGAAACGAAAACACCGGCAGCCACACAAACGCAGCTACACGGGCAGGGTGATGTGCTTAACACGCGAAAAGGATGCGGAGACATGCAAGAGACAGACAGACGCATACACACACACACACACACACACACACACACACACACACAGACACACACACAGACACAGACACACACCTGCGAATGGTTTCACGGGCGTTGGCGACGGCCTCAAATGCATTCAATTCCTGTTGTGCACATGCATGCGCAAAAACGACAAAACATGGCATTTGTCAGCCACCATACATATCAACACATGCAAGTACACGCACCAGCACATATGCACGCGCGTACGTCGACACGCACAAACACATGCGAGCAAGTTGGGTCCACCACCGTACCTTGCGTGCCATGAGGTGTGATTTGTACTTGACCAAGCGCACTTGGGCAAAGGTGCCTCTGCCAAGATCCTTGACAATCTCCACCAGCTGCGAGTCAACTTGCTCCTGAACGCAAGAAACAAAGCCCGTGATGTGACGTGACCCAAAGCACGCATGACGATAGCAAGCAATAGCAGCGCCGGGAAACGGTCGGCGATGGGAAGGAAGAGAGGCAGAGGGAGGGACAGCGAGGGGGTATTCGCTTAGACAGACAGACAGACAGACAGACAGACAGAGGCACAGATAGACAGAGGCACAGATAGACAGACAGATAGACATACAGACACACACAGACACAGACACAGACACACAGACACAGACACAGACACAGACACAGACACAGACACAGACACAAACAAACACACACACACACACACACACACACACACACACACACACACACACACACACACACACACACACACACACACACACACACACACACACACACACACACCGGTCCACTTTCTGGTAGGATGAGCCATCCGACCCTGTCGTCTGGGGACAAGGTGGACGGTGGGCGCACGGGCGTCTTGCGCGCTGGCAGCTTCACGTTGAACCCACCTGCAAAGGCAAAAAAAAGGGCGGGCAAGACCACAAAGGATAGCAAGGTGAGTGCACCACGTGATGTGACCACACAGCACGACCACACACAGCACGACCACACAGCACAGCGCAAGCAACCACACACCACACAGAGCACAGCAGGACATGCAAGGCAAGGCAGGCAAGGCAGGCTCTTACTCATCGCCGTCTTTCAGCGTTTGTTTTTTTTTTTCCTCCATCCAACCCGAACAAAACTGGCTGCAGCACGGGTTGTTTTGGTTTGTCGAGCACAACTTCCCACCACAGCACCAACACGCCACCCACGACCATGACGATGATGATGCGTGCTGGCTCGAGCGGGTGCAGCCGCGTCCGCAGCCGCAGCCGCACACCGACGGCGTCGACGATGTTCTCTCTGCGGCGCAGCTTGTACACGCTGCTGGTGGTTGTGTTGTTGGGGGTGTCGCTTTTGGGCCAGAACGCACACGCACAGGTGACTGGCGATGACGATGGTGTTGAGCCGCCACCAGAATGCGACGATCTGACGGTCAAGGAGGCGGTGCGCGTCGGCGCCTGGGTTGGTGCAGCGATCGGCGCTGGCTTCTTCGCCGCGTTCCTCTTGGCCGCCGTTTTGTTCACGTGCCCCTGCTCTGGGCCTTTCCTCGAGTTCACCTGCACCTTGGTTGGCTGCGAGTGCTGCCCGACGTCGTGCTGCGCCGATGCCAGTGACTCGAGCCGCAGCGGTGACCACCACGCACTGCCCACTGCGCCCAACGAGCTCGGTGGCGACGGCACTTATCCCGACGGGTCAAGCCACAAGGCAAGCGTGTCGTCGCAGCCCAATGGCCGCGCCCTCAGCACGTCGCTGCTGCACGCGTCCTACATTGATCCCGAGGCAGACAGCGTGGTGCTGGTGGAACCGCCCGGTGCGGAGGACGACGGCAGCGCCGGCGAGTTTGGTGCCTTTCTCACCCTCGTCGAGTTCCTCGACGCCATCCCGGAGTCGATGGTGCTGGCAGAGGCCGTGGCGCGCGGCCAGATCCAGTTTGCGCTCATCGTCTCCATTGTCGTGCTCAACTTCTCCACGGGGTTTGCCATGTTCTCGGACCTGATCCGCTCCAACACGTCAAACATCCACGGCGACAACCGCGTGTACCAGCTGCTCTTCGTGTCCGCCACGCTTGCCGCAGGCATGCTCGTCTTCTCCGTGAGCGACGAGGTGTACACCAACTTCACGGAGCACGAGGGCGACCAGCGGTTCCTCAGTCTCGGCCTCTTGATTGCCGGCACCATCGTCGGCGCTGCCTTGGTGCTGGGCCTGATGTGGCTCAGCTCAGCACAGGCTGCGGCAACGCTCAAGGACAAGCTGTGGCAGTTCTTTGCCTGCTGCTCCGTCACCGCCCTCACGTCCGGCAGCAGCTGGATCACGATTGTTCGCGAGGGGCGGGTGGTGAAGTCGCTGCTGCTGGTGATCGCCCTCACCGTCTGGCTCATCATCCTCACCACCATTGGCGTGCTCATCTTTCGTCGAAACTCCGTGGAAAAGGACTTTATCGAGGGGTTCTCCGGGGGAGCGTTCATCATCACCATTGGTGGCACCCTGTTGCCGGAGGCGCAACACGCCGCCCACAAGACACACTGGTCGTCCACGCAGAAACAGATTATCGCCGCGTCCTCCTTCCTCGTGGGTCTTATTCTCGCAGTCATTCTGAAGCTTCTGGAGGACGAGGAGCCAGACTGCTAGCTGCCTGCCATTACCGTCACCCGTGAAGCACCGCTTGCTGTTTGATCTGATATATCGATACGTGGACGCTGTTGACATGTGATGTGCATTTGTGTGTGTGTGTGTGTGTGTGTGTGTGTGTGTGTGTGTGTGTGTGCATTTGTGTGTGTGTGTGTGCATTTGCGCGCTCGTGTGTGTGTGCATTTGTGTGTGTGTGTGTGTGTGTGTGTGTGTGTGTGTGTGTGTGTGTGCATTTGCGCGCGCGTGTGTGTGCATTTGTGTCCAAGCACACCAGCCTTGCCCCCTCCCTCTGTGCGCTTCGTGTGTGTATGCACTTCTTCCTTTCATGACCTCCGTTATCATGTCTTCTCATTGCCCGCGTTACAACCCATGCTGTTGTTTCTCTGCTTCTCGCCCAGCCATTGACGGCGGGCATTGCGCACTTCTGTTCATTGCACGAATTACAATCTGACTGAAATGCAACTGTTGACACTCGCACCGATTGCACACGCAAACATCACTCCTCGCTCCCAAACGTTCAATACGATGACACAATTCGTCTCCCCCCCCCCACGCACGCAATGAAACCTCGCCGCCTAATCTTTCTTCACACCGTCATCCTTGTCACTATCACCATCATCACCATCATCACCGTCGTCGTTGTCATCGTCACCATCACCACCATTGCGGCGCGTGCACGCTGCGTCGAGGTGCACATTGATCATTGCCCGCAGTTTCCGCAGGTAAAAGTCGCGGTAGTCGCCCTCCATCGCCTCCATCGCCTTCAGCGCCGCGTCCACCTTCGCCATTGCTCGACACGCCTCAGGCAGGTCCTGCCGTCAGCAAGAGCGGGAAGCGTGGTGGTGATGTGATGTGATTTGACATGGTGTGGTGTGAGCGTCAGACGCACGTGGGTGCACACGCAGGAGTGTGGATGGTCATACAAACAACGCAGTGCCAGCAGACAAACACAACACCATGTTCCAGCACTGCAACCAACTTACACAGCCACGATTCCCCCAAAACGATGTACATTCAACCACCCCCACCACCACTACCTCCGCACCTTGTTGCCGTAAAGGTCTTTGCGCTGGTAGCGCTCTGCCGGGAGATGGCGGAAAAACGCGTTGATGGACACACACGGCGTCAGCGCACGCACGTTGTGGAACCACATGGCTGTGCGCATGTTAAGTGGATGTGGGTGGGGATGGAGCGCAAGCAGTGCCACATGTGAGCGAGTGGATGAGGACACGCCCAGCAACGCGTGGTGTGATGTGAAGTGAATACCAACGCATGCACACGTGAAAAAACAAAAACAAAAAGCAAGAAAAAGAAAACACAAAACACCAAACACAGGCCAGATTACCAGCACCACAATCACGACCACGACCACCATCGTCATAACCATCGGCGTCACCTGGCATGAAGAGGGCGTCGCCCGGCTCAAGGACGACTTCAATGGCATGATGCAATGCAGTGCGGAATCGGGGAAAGGCGGAATAGTCCGGACACTCCACATCAACAACAGCAGAGGTGGACCCCTGCACATACAGGTTGTCAACCTGTCGTGCGTGTGTGTGTGTGCGTGTGTGTGTGTGTGTATGTGTGTGCATGGGAGGAAGGAGGCAGGGACGATGGATAAACACTGCGTTTGCTGGCGATGGGCACGCATGTACGCATAGACAAATAAACAAGCAGATAAGCAAGCACGCACGCACGCAAGCACGCAAGCAAGCAAACAAGCAAAAGAGCAAGCAAGCAAACAAACAAACAAGCAAACACATACGCACCTGCGACGGAGGAAAGAGGAGAACGCGTTTCCTGCCGACAATGTTGAACAGCACATTGTCCATGATGTCGTAATGCGTCCACAGCTGAACACCGGCTGAGCTCAAGCGCAACGCGGTGCTAAACTTCGCGTCACCCAGGATCTGCAATCACAGGGGCAGGCGCCATGGGATCGAGGGTGGTGGTGATGAGGACGGCGGATGTGTTGGGACTGCAAGTGTCTCAAATCCGACACACACACACACACACACACACACACACACACACACACACACACACACACCTACCTCTGGAGGAAAGCATGGTGGGAGTTCAAACTGTTGGAAGAGCTGCGGATGTGTCACTGAAATGTCGGCCACGTCTTTGCGGAAGTTTTTGCCCATAGACCGAAGATACAGCAGCCTGGTCACCGGCGGAGACGCGCGTGTGGGCGGTGTGTGTGTGTGTGTGTGCGTGTGTGTGCGTGCGTGTGAACGTGTGACCGTGAGAAGCAACAAAGGGCGATGCACAAAGAAGATTCTCATCAACTGAATGCATACTCTCCGTTCATATCGTACACACGTGCAATCTAGACACACGCATCACTCACACAAGCAGCAGCAACAACGACAACCCACTCTTTTGGCTTCGACGGCGATGATGAGGATGAAGAAGAGTTGAAGACGCGCTGGATCAGATCAGGCATCGACATCACCTCAAACCTGACACGGGCGCACGGGTAGAAACAACGAAATGGTAGCAATATGTGTGTGTGTGCGTGTGTTAGGATGTATGGGGGTTGATAAGCAGTCCGGAACGCACACAGTTGCACTCGCAGCCATGGACGTGTCAAACAAGCAAAATCAGAACACACACAGGCACACTCAAACAACAACAACAACAACAACAACAACAACAACAACAACAACAACAACAACAACAACAACTGAGACAGCAACAACAACAACTGAGACAGCAACAACAACGCATACATGCACGCCCACCTGAAGTTCCGGGTGAGAAAGTTGAGGTGCGAGTGTGTGGTGACGTGTGCTGATGCTTCCATACCGCCACATGCGGCAGCGAGCGCTTCAGGCGTCCACTCAGAGGCGGCGCCAAAGGTGCAGGTGGGGAAGAGGGCAGGGAGGCGCCGGCCGACAATGCCGCGTTTGAATTGCGCGGCACTTACGCGCAGGGGATCGAAGCCTTGAGCATGAATTGAAGGGTTGGACGTGGGCAGGAGGGAAGGGTGGCGGTGTTGGAGAGAGACAGGGGGGGGGGGAGGAGACATCACATGCGTGATGTTAGCAAGCACCGCACTCGGCGAAACCTCAACACCTTGCACGACAGACAAACACACGCGCCAAACGCACGCACAGACACGAACACAGACAAACAGACACACAGACACACAGACACACACACACACACACACTCTCTCTCTCTCTCTTTCTCTCTCTCTCCCTCTCAGACCTTGGACAAAGTGGCGCGATGGGTGGAAAGACGAAGGACTGGTGGAGAAGATGTCCGAGAGGCGGAACCGCAAAACGCGGCGATCAAAATGCGTTCCAAACGAGAAGCAGTTACCCCCGCCCATCACAATGACCAGCTCGCCATCAGCCGTGCAGTGCAGCGTGTGGTTGAGCATCAAGCTCTGCTGGTACCACCACGCATGCTGCTGCTGCTGCTGTTGAGATGATGGCGGCGATGATGGTGGCGACAGCGACATCGGTGCACTGGTGATGATAGCCGGTGCTGTGTACTGCCATGTCCGGGCTGAGGGGCGGATGATCAGGATGCGCTCGTGGGGTTTGAGCGGCGCTGGTCCGCACCCGCCCGCGACGACGATGCATTGCCAAGCCGCACACCACGCCATCTTGGGTGGTGGAGACAGGTGGAGGTGTTCGAAGGGGAAGGGGGTGTGAGTGTGAGCTTGGATGGAGCAACAACAGCAACACCAAACGATAATATGTGTGTTTGATTCTGCGACCACCCCCCCCCCCAACACACGGAACACACACACACACACACACACACACACACACACACACACACACACACACACACACACACACACACACGGAACACACACACGGAACACACACACACACACACACACACGCACGCACGCACGCACACACGCACGCACGCACACACACACACACGGAACACAAAAGCGCATGCCACCTTGTGACCGAATCTGGGCGGTAGCGGCGGGTCAAACTCGATTTCCTCGCTGGTGATCTTCAATGGCGACGCGTCACCAACAGCACCATCATTATCATCATCGTCATCATCAGTTACGATGGTTGTGGTCAAGAAAACAAACGAGCTGAGGGCAGTCTCCTTTGCATCTGCTTGTGGTCGAGTCGAAGGCAGTTATGTGGTGGGTGGCGAATGTGATGAGAGAAGACCAATACGCGGACAGCCCGAGACAACACGCAACAGCAATGTACACACAGGCACACACACACACACAGACACACACACACACGTACACACGCACATACACACACATATACGCACCGAGGCCACCGTACACGGCGACAGCGCTGCTGCCGGCATTGCTCTCGATCGTGCACGCGGCATGGGCAAACCGGTTCACGTGCTGGACGTCGTGCCGCCGCCACACAAACCCGCCCACGTCCTCCACTGATCCTGTCGCAGTGGCAGTTGCGCTGGTGCCGGGCACGGGCGGTGCTTCTCGCTGCTGCTGCTGCTGCTGCTGCTTGGTTGACTTGGGTGTCGCACAGCTGTCGTGTTCATCGCCACCAGCATTCCCACCACTGCCACCGCCACTGCTGAGGTGCGCCGGGTCCAGATGCGGCACAAGCAACTCGTACACGTCGTGCAGAACACCGTCCGCAGTCCGCCCGCCGAGAACAAGCAGGCGATGCGGTGCCACGCTCACCATGGCATGACGCCACACGGGTGGCGGCGATGATGATGATGATGGCGATGATGATGGTGACACACGACCGGGCAGCCACACGAGCGATGACGGCGAGGAAGGCGATGGGATGCGTGCAATGTGGATGTCATTGAGCGGGCGAACGGGGGAGGAGCGACCGCCAAAGAGGACGAGGTGCGACGCGTTGCAGACGCACATCTGCGCATGCACGCGCGCGGGCGGTGTGACGCCACTACACGACGAAGAAGAAGAAGAAGACGACGAAGAAGACGATGACGATGGTGATGAGAGGGGCGTGACGGTGTGGCCTTGGATGACCGCTGTTGTGTTGAGGCGGCGGTGGGCGCAGTTGCCGATGCTGTTGGAAGATGATGGCGACAGCGGTGATGAGCCAACGGTGGAAGTCACACAACGAAGTCGCAAGTCGTTCACACAGACACACACACACACGAACACACAGACACACACAGACACACAGGCACACAGATACACAGGCACACACACACACACACACACACAAACACACGCGCGCGCGAGCACACACACACACACACACACACTCTCTCTCTCTCTCTCCCTGCCATTGGCGCGTGTGCTGACCCGCCAAAGACGAAGATGGTGCCCGCGTGTTCGGCGCTGCAGTGCGAATAGCGCGAGGTGTCATCTGCCGGGACAGGCAGCGCAGGTGGCGGCGATGGTGGTGATGATGATGGTGGTGCTGGTGGCGGTGTAGTGATGGTGATTGGGCAGCGGGTGACGTATGATGGCTCAAGTGGTGGTCCATTCAAGTGCTCAGTGCAGAACGCCTATGTTTGGGATGCACATGTGTGACGGGGCGAGAAGAAGGCGCGAATGTTGGCCGCACGCATGCACACGCGTGAACTTGCATTGAAACACAAGACGTGCACAGGAAACACGAAAGAGATGCATACACATATGTATACAGCATGTGACACGCACACATACAGACACAGACACAGAGACACACGGACACAGAGAGACGCAAACACACTGACACGCACATCAACGCATGAACACACTGACACGCACATTAACGCACAATCATACACACACCGCACGACCCACCCTTGGGATGTCTGCGAACGCGCCCTTGCCGGCGATGGAGATGGTATAGTGATGTGCCTTCTCGTGCCACTCCTCAAATTCGTCAAACGGCTCAATGGCAGCAACACGCGCGCGCTCCGTGCTTGCAAGCATTGTGTTGTAGAATGCCCACATGGTTGGGGCGACGGCATGGGTCCACCCCAGCCTCTGCAGGCGTTCAACTTGTGCTGTCGGCGTTGGAAACGCGTTTACGCAGCGCAGTGGCGATCCTGATGATGGCGATGGAAGAATGAAGAACACACAGACACGTGATGTAATGAAATGCCATGTGGTATGTGGTTTCCATGAGATTCGAATGCGCGGGTGGAAAAGCGAGGAGAACATTGCGCCACACACACACACACACACACACACACACACACACACACGCATGCACATGCGCAATAGCGTGTGGGCTGACCGATATTTGAGAAGTGGCGCTGCATGACGGTGCCAAAGGCATCGTGTGGAAACACCTGCTCATAGTCGGCAATGACGCTGTCCACAAAGAAGGATGCAGCCCACCGCAGCAGCTGATTCGAACACACGGTGCAGGCGGTATTGGGGTTGGTGTGAGGACGTGGTGTTGTGTGCGTGTGTGTGCATGTGTGTGGGAGTGTGTGTGCGTGTGCGCGCATGTGTGTGAGTGTGTATGCGTGTGTGTGCGAAGGGAGGCTTGTCAGCACACGCTTGCATTGACCTTCAAGCAATGTAAAGGTCAACGGCCGCCACATTGACACAAACGCAGATACATACGAGAGACACACAGACAAACACACAGACAAACACACAGACAAACACACAGACAAACACACAGACAAACACACACACACACACATACACACACACACGCGCGCACACACACACACACACACACACACACACACACACACACACAGACCGGGTCGCTGTGTTTTGGCGGGACATATGTGAGGACGCATTCCGAGACGATGACGCAGGGCACATCGCGTTTGAGGCCGGCAGCCAGCAGCCGCTGCTCAACCAGATGCAGGTCTCGGAGATCAACACCGACCAGCCGGTACGACTGCAGCAGCAGGCCATTGCCCCACAGCTCTTCGGGTGTCAGTGCGGATGCAAGTGGTGCCGTTGTCGTGGCGGCCTTCACATTGCCCTCTGCTGCTGACGGCTGCGTTTGCTGGCCTGCACCTTTACCATTTCCAGCGGTAGCATGGGCAGCATAAGCCGCTTTCTTTGCCTTGTGACGCTGTAGAGTGTGGCGGAGTGCTGCTGTGGCGTCGTCGCCTGGCATGTATGGCTCATGGTCGGGGCTGACGTCCTTCAAGTGGTCTGTCATCTCCAACAGCAGCATCTTGTTCCTGACAACGTCAGGCAGGTCAACCTCAAAGTACGTGGTGCCTGGCGGCAGCTGGCCCTGTGCACGCAGCCGGAAGTATGCCATATCAAAGCCAGCGCCAAGCGCTAGGATTTGCAGCGGCCGTTCACGGTTGTGCTTTGCCAGCGCGAAACTCAGAAACGTGTCCAGCGCCTTGGCTCTGATGTGCGCGCGAAAGTTGGGCGGGGAGGAGGAAATGGGAGTGTGAGGCAGGTGGTAACGGGTGGCAGGTGGAATGTGTAAGTTGTGTTGCGGCGCAGGCGAGGCGACTGTCCGCAATGATCGGGCGCACGCATCAGAGGATGCACCATAAGACGCGTCACAGGGCGCACCGGAGGGCGCAAACTCTCGCACACCACGTACAGCACACACGATCGCACACAGTAGACAGCGCACGCATGTGCATGCTTGGTACCTGATGTAGTAGCCACGGTTGATGATGGGCGCACGGCGAGCTGGCTTCTTCACAAGGGAGAGAAGCTGTGGGTCCTCCACATACCCAAGCGCAGCGGTGCTGCACTTTGACTGGAATGCCGCATCATTCGTGCCTTCAACCTGTGTGCATGCACGAGCGAGCATGAGCATGAGCAGGGGCAAAGTGGAAGACAGAGGGACGGAATGAGCGAGGGAAGAGAGAGAGAGTGTGTGTGTGTGTGTGACAGAAAGAGTTCAACACACACGACACTCATCACTCAACACACGACACATCACATCACATCACTCAACACAACCCACAACACAACCCCCACAACTCACGGCACGTGTGTTCCTGCCAGTCTTCTGCTTGTTGCCACCCATCGTCCCGTCTGCAGAATTAGGATGGAAATCATTCACAAATGTTCAACAACGGCTACAAAACAAGCCAGCCAGTGACAGACATGAAGCGTTTGTTTGTGTTTGTGTTTGGGCTTGTGTTGAGTGCGGTGGTGGGTGTGACTGCCACTGCGACCGGCACATCTGCTCGTGGATCTGCGTGCCAGCCGCCGTCTCTGACGGGTGATGGCAGTGGGAGTACGAGCAGCGCAACGCTCCATGTGAACGAGCTCCGCTCCAGCTCTGCACCTGCGGTTGTGGATGTGAGCGAGTACGTGACGCTGGCATGGGAGCGGGCGCATTCTACACCCACCGAGACGCAGCAAGCTTACTGGATCTCGATTACCGACAGCCAGGGCCGCAGCGTGGCCTGTGTGCAGCAGCACAACACTTCTACTCCCCACCACGTCTTGGAGCCGCGCACTTTTGAGCACGGCGAGCACACGGCCACCCTGCGCTGGCAGGATTCCAAGGGACAGTGGAGCTTGCCTGCCACCGCCACCTTTGAAGTGGCCGATCCAAACTGGGGCGGATCGCAGTGGATCGGTGACGGCCGCCGCTTCCACGCCGAGGTATGCACACTGTTAACTGCATGTGTGCTGTGCATGTGCGTGTGGGTGATCGTGGTTGTGTGTGCGTGATCACGGTTGTGATCGCGGTTGTGATCGTGGTGTGTGTGTGTGTGTGATCGTGTTTGTGTGTAAAGACCTGTTGTGTGTGGGATGAAGCCGTGCTGTGCGTGGAGCAAAGTGGCGCATGCTTTCCCAACGGACTGTCAGATGAGGGGATGCTTGTATCTGCTGCGGATCAACTCACCCCTTTCGTCTCGGCCGTCTGTCTCCTTCCGCTGGCAGGTCACGCTGTCTGCTGCACCGGAAACGGCCAAGCTGTACATCTCCGGTATTGGGTTCTACAAGCTCTACATCAATGGTGTTGACGTAAGCGTTGTCGCCCTGCATGCGCGTGTGCAGCGAAGCCGTACACGCTGCGATTCTCACGATCGTACAATGAACCATATCTCGACACCTGCTGTTGTCATGTCCGTTCGTTGCCTCTCTTCATTCTTCCAGCGCCGTTTCTGTCTGTCTGTCTGCCTGTCTGTCTGTCTGTCTGTCTACCTGCCTGTCTGTCTACCTGTCTGTCTCTGTCTATCTTTGCCTCTGTCACTCCTCTCTCACTCACTCCCCCTCTCTCTGGGTCTGCTTCTGTCTTTGTCTCTCTCTGTCACTCCCCCCTCCTCTTTCACCCCCCCCCCCCTCTCCCACTCACACAAACAAACACACACACACACACACACACACACACACAAACACACACACACACACACACACACACACACACATACACACACACATACACACGTTTGATCGTGACACCGCAACGCCTTGCATAATGACCTGTTACCCCCATGCGCAACCGCCACTGCTCCTTTCAGATTGACACCGGGGCTGTGCTGAATGGTGCGTGGAGCGTGTGGAATGCCCGCGTGCTGTTTGATTCTATCAACGTCGCTCCATATCTGAAGAGCGGCACCAACGCAATCGGCGTGATGCTTGGCGGCGGCTGGCGCAATACGACCCAGTTCCCACCCCAGTCGCACAAGTCATCGTGCGACGCACACAACCGCCTGCTGCGTGCTGTCCTTGAGGTGAACGGCAGCCCCGTGCTGAGGACGAACACGACGTGGATGATGAGCAGCACTGCGCCCATCACCGATGACTCCATCTACAATGGCGAGACATACGATGCACGGCTGGAGAGCGACAAGTGGAAGCTGCCACACTTCACCCCATCTCCATCCTCAGACTGGACGCACGCCACGCAATATGACAGCTGCTTCTCGCCAACGATGACGGCGCGGTCCTTTCCTCCGATCAAAGTGCAGGAGGTGCGCCCGCCAGTCAACATCAACAAGCTCACCGCCTGTCCACAAGCAAAGGTGCTGTTGCTCGGCGTGCGCGTGTTGCGTGTGGTTTTGTGTGTGTGTGTGTGTGTGTGTGTGTGTGTGTGTGTGTATGTGTGTATGTGTGTGTGTGTGTGTGTGTATGTGTGTATGTGTGTGTGTGTGTGTGTGTGTGTGGGTGTGGGTGTGTGGGTGTGTGTGTGTGTGGGTGTGTGTGTGGGTGGGTGTGTGAAAGTGCGAATGTTCATGTGTGTGTGTGTGTGTGAAAGTGCGAATGTTCATGTGTGTGTGTGTGTACTAGCCTGTGTCACCTGTAAATCGGCCAAGTTATCACTGCCTCCCTTCACCACCACCACCACCACCACCCCTGTCACCCCATCGAATCCTCTTCTCCAATAGGTTGGCGGGCTGGCTGCGGAGAACACAGACCTCGTGCTGACATGCGCCAGCGGAACGATCAGCGGCATTGAGTTTGCGAGCTTCGGTACGCCGACGGGCAGCTGTGGAAACTTCAGCAAGGGCTCCTGTGATGCTGCCAGCACAATGAAGATTGTGCAGAGCATGTGCGTTGGCAAGTCGTCGTGCACCATCCCCGCCACCGACACCACTTTTGGAGGTTGGTTGGTTGGTTGCTGTGTGTGTGTGTGTGTGTGTGTGTGTGTGTGTGTGTGTGTGTGTGTGTGTGTGTGCCTTTGTGATACTGCGCACATACGTTTGTGTGTGTGTGTGCGTGTGCGTGTGAATGCCTGCTTGAATGTGCGCGCATGCTTGCGCGCGCGTGTGTGCCTTTGTGATACTGCGTACATACGCTTGCTTACGTGTGCACCGAGGTCGATGGCCTCGACCGTGACCAACAACGCTGTCACCTCTTTAACCCCATCACCGCCCTTGTTCTCACCACCATCACATGCTTCCATCACAACTACCAGACCCGTGCTACGGCACCGCCAAGGTGTTGGCCGTGCAGGCGACCGGGTGCTCCGCCTCTCCATACTTCGTCGTCGACTTTGGCGAAAACCTGAGCGGCCTGACGCGCATCAGCGTGCGCGGGAGTGCTGGGACGGTGGTGACGCTGCGGCACGCGGAGGTCTTGCAGCACCCGCCATATGGGCCTGCCGACGGAAACATCTACACGGTGCGTGGGGCGAGCTGCTGTTGGCAGAAAAAAGGGTTGGGGGGGGGCGTCTGAACAGGGATTGTGTGTGTGTGTGTGTGTGTGTGTGTGTGTGTGTGTGTGTGTGTGTGTGTGTGTGTGTGTGTGTGTGTGTTTCGGTTGTAAAGTGTTTGCCTTTCATTTGTGTACGCATGTGTGTTATTGAAAGCGCCTTGCACTGTTCGCACATGTTTCATACTCCTCCCCTCCCTCCTCTTTACGACGGCATCACGGGACACAGGGCAATCTGCGGACAGCGAAAGCGACGGACACGTACATTCTTCGCGGGGACGCGGATGGCGAAGAGTACATTCCATCCTTCACGTAAGGCGTCGTGGATTTACCACGACGCAGCCGCTGCTTTCTTGCCATGTAACGATGAGTCATTGGGAGGGTTGGTTGAACTCTTCGAACTGGTACAATCACTTCAAACGCACATGTGCATTACGGCGCGCGCACACACACACACACACACTCACTCACTCACATTCACACATACGCACATGAACGCATTACTCTCGCATACAATTGCACGACTGCAGGTATCATGGGTTCCGCTATGTTGAAGTGCGCGGATACCCTGGCGAACTCAAGAGCGAAAACATTTCACAGGTATTGCCCTGTTATGCGATGGCTGTGGAGGAAGAAGCAGTGAGCGTGTGAACGGATTGCAGCTTGTTGTGCTTGTTTCGTGGGCGACGTTGTTTGCTTGTGTGTGCGTGCGTGTGTGTGTGTGTGCGTGTGTGTGTGTGTGTGTGTGCGTGCGTGTGTGCGTGTGTGTGTGTGTACACTTTCATCGCTTTCCATTGCGTTTCTTACTCGTGGGTGTTTTGTTGTCGATGCTTGTAGCTCCACTTTCGAACAGACAACCAGCTTATTTCGTCCTTCAAGTCTTCATCGAAGGTAATGATGACACACGAGATGGGGAAGGGCGAAAACAAACGACAGGCAGGCATGTGGTGCTTTACAAGCATGAAAGTACACAAATACATATGCATGTACACTCACGTACCTGCACGTACCTGCACGTGCACACGCGTACAACCCTTCCTCCCACATCACTTCACCATGTGTGCAGGTTCTGAATGCCATTCAGTACGGCGCGTATCGCGGGCAAGGCAGCAATATGATGTCTGTGCCAACAGATTGCGACCAGCGTGACGAGCGTCTTGGATGGATGGGAGGTGCGCGATGGGTGTTTGTTGAACTTTTTAAACTTGTGTAAACACTTCGAGCACACTTGAACATGTGGGACACACGCACACCAAGCACACATGTGTACTCTTACTCACACACAGTACACACTCACTCACTCACTCACTCACTCACTCACTCACTCACGCACGCACTCACACTCACTCACTCACGCACGCACGCACTCACTCACACCCGTCTGGTTCCCGTTCCCGTACACCAGATGCATCGCTCTCCGCGGATTCGTTTGCACTGAACTACGCCTCCAAGACGTTCATGTCCAGTTTTGTTCGCAGCATTGTCGACGACCAAGTTAGGCTTGCTTGCTTGTTTGTTTGTTTGTTTGTGCGTGTGTGTGCGTGTGCGTGTGTGTGCGTGTGTGTGTGTGTGTGTGTGTGTGTGTGTGTGTGTGTGTGTGTGTGTGTGTGTGAGTGCGTGTGTATTTTGCTTGCAGGCAATCAGTTCTCGTGCGAAGTATGCCAGTTGTCAGCTGGCGCGTCCATTCCCAACTGCAACACAGAATTTTCAACACCTTCACCAGCAGTGACCACCACCACCACCACAGGACCCGGCCTCTGGCTCGCTGCCGGATGTTGTTCCGTATCAGCGGTACGGCGGGCAGCCGGCAGACCCGTCGTGGAGTGCAGCGTTTCCGCAGAACGTGTGGGTGCGGTACAAGCATGGTGGAGACACAACCATGGCCAAGCAGTGGTGGCATCAGTTGGGATTTTACGTCGCAAACTTGGAGGCGCAGGTTGCTGCCGCAAAGGGATTCAGCAACTGGAAACCGCCATACGGCGACTGGGTGCGCGCGTGTTTGTGCGTATGCATGTGTGTGTGTGTGTATGCGTGTGTGTGTGTGTGATGTGACTCGTGAGTGTATGCGAAATGCAACGTTGTGGACCCACCTGTAGAAATGACTACGTTGTGCACACGCTCACAACAAACTTGGGAACACGTCCAGGTGCCTGCTGGCAAGAAGGTGGACGGACAAGTGTGCAGTGCCTTCAGCTTCATTATGGCCGCGCAGCAAGTGAGTGAACGCACATGCACAGAAGTCATAATGCGATTGTGCTGCATGCGTGTGCATTGCGTATGTGTATGTATGTGTATGTATGTGTGTGTGTGTGAGTGACCCCTGGGTGCTGTTGCTCCATCCATTTGCTCCGTTGCAATGACAACTCTCAACTCGCACACACACACACACACACACACGTCCACCATCACCACCACTGCCTCACTGTTGCTGCTGCCAACACCGCGCCGCACCAGATGTCCGAGCTCGCAGCTGCAATTGGAAACACAACGGCTGCGCACGACTACGCGTCGCTTGCAGATTCTCTCCGGCAGAAGTACAGAGCCGCGTTCTATCACAGCTCCACCAACGTACGCATGATCCCATTGCTGCTGCTGCTGCTGCTGCTGCTGCTGCTGCTGCTGCTGAGAAGACTCACTTGTGTGTGCGTATGTGCGAATATTGGTAGTGCTTTGACGATTGCGGGCAGACTGCGACTGCGCTGTCGCTGTTCGTGGGCGCTGTGCCCTCTGATCACGTCAACGCGTCTGTTGCATCGCTGCTCACCGACATCGAGAAGCAGAACAACAACCACGTCACGGTACATTTGTCGGCCTGACGTGCGACCGTGTTTCACCATGTGCATGTGTCAAAACACACGTGTGAAAGTGCAGCGTGTTCCCTTCCCGTAAAAGACGCACACGTACGCACACACGCACGCACGCACGCACGCACGCACGCACGCACGCACGCACACACGCACGCACGCACACACACGCACACACACACACGCACACACACACACACAGGTTGGTATCATTGGAGCAAAAGCGCTGTTCCCGGTGCTGTCGGAATACGGTGCTCAGAAGCAAGCAGTCGCGCTGGCAGAGCAGACGTCCCAGCCGTCATGGGGTGCGGTTGCAATTGGTGTCGTGTGATGAGTGAGGATCGAGCGTTTGTGCTTCCCGCGGCGTTGGTGGGGTTGAACATGTGGTGTGTTGAGTTGAGGGTGTGCCACCCTTTTTGGTTGCTGCTTTGTCGTTCTCATGCCACCACATCACAACTGCAATCGGGACACCTGCTTGCAGGCTACATGTTCTTCAACACCATTGAGCCCGCCACTTCGTCCGTGTGGGAGCTGTGGGACAGCCCAACACAGGGCCCAGGCATGAACAGCAGGTTCGGGAGCCACTCGACCTTAAACGTGACATTTTCGCATCTTCATGTTGTTTGGGCCCTGCGCCGCGATGCATTTCAAGGAAACGCCGCACTCATCTTCACACACACACACACACACACACACACACACAC